GGGAGGGGGGGGGTCTGTATTGAAAAATCAATTCCAAGGGGTCGGGGGGGGGGGGGTCTGTTTAAAAAAAAAATTTGGGGGGGGGGGGTCCAACACTTGCTTCGCAAGACAAACTCAAGGTATCCCTAAAGGGCTACCTTTCGTGACTAGCTTCTTGTTACTAGTAGTAAGGCACTTGTTACTAGAAGTGATGCACTTGTTACTAGTAGCTTCTAGAATGTGCCTGAAGCTCTGGAGATATCAAAGGATCTCTTCGGTTTTGAGCTGTTCGGAAGGACCTCAGCCGTACGAGCTGCTAGCTTGACTCAGCTTTGCGTCACAATCCAAGGTTGCGACTCCCAAACTGCACCAGCTGGGTGAATCCATGAGCGTCCTGTGCTAACATCATCAAATTGCTCCTCGGGATAGGTAAAGCAAAAATTGTTTGTTCCACTTGTTCCACTGAAACTCTCAGCAGCTTCCATGTCAAGTTTTGCTGCCAAACATCCAGCAATTGAGCTGTGGCAACCGCCAGCTCCGGGTCCAGGGGCCTGCAGGCAAATCTCACAACGATAGTCACATACAGCAGTGAGGTCTCACATGCTGTCAAGTACATGAAGGTTAGGAAGTTAGGACGGTTAGGAATAGCTTATCTCTGCTGTGTCAAATTTGTCGCACAACTTCTCTCTTGGCTTGTCTACTTTGGTTGGCCTTCTCGGAGCTTTGCTCCGACCTTCTCTGTTCATAGTGGTGAGAATATGTGAGAACGCCCAGGAGGTCTTATCAAGTTTTGAGAGCGGGGGACTGTGAGAGTGCAGTCTTTTTATTGGTTTTTAAAGTGTTTGGTATCATGTGATGCTCAAGATATGCAAAGATGCTTGTTTTCACTCTAGGGCAGAAGATACCACTCTACTCTAACATGGGGCCTGGGTGTTGGTTTTCCCAAAATGTTAGGTAAATGCTCTGGGGAAGTCTTGAGGAAAGGGGGGGTCCAGCCAAGAGTCTCTGAGAATTGGTTGTTTGTTTCTTTTTGATTTTCCCAAGTTGTTTTAGTTGTTTTGTTTGTTTTCAATGTTGTTTTGTGTTCTCTATATTTTCTCGAGACTGTTTGTGTTTGTTTTCCAGTGCAAAGGACATTGAGGCAGCTTTCACAGACACATAGCATGAATGCAGGCCACAGTGGGAAGTTTATAGCACATAGATGGAAGTAGGCAGCAAAAACACATAAAATACGCACTCTGGTGGTCCCCTGTTTTGCAAGCTTTTCACCAGCTTAGCTTGTTGTGCTTATAGCCTGGCCACTTTGGGAACAAAGATTTCCGGCTTCTTTTCCAGCAAGGCTAGCTACATGGTTTGTCGTTGATGCACTGCCTTGCATCCTTGTTGAATTCAGCTGCTGTCCGGTCAGGGGCTCTGCAGCTGCCACTAAGCTTTCCTTGCACTTTTTTCCCGCGTAGTGAGTTCTCCTCTTCTGGCATGTAATTCTGCAAAGTTGAAGCCCGAAGGCGGCAACTACCCCTCAATCTGATCATTGCATCATCCGCACATCACAAAGAAAGTAAGACGAGCTTTGCCTTGCGAGGCCAGCCCCGGCGCGGGAAGCAGGGAATTACTCTGCCCAAAGAGAAAGAAATGAGGCAAAGAGTTTGTCCAAGTCATCCTTGTAAGTTTTCTCATAATGGCTTGGAACTGTTTGCGAAGTCTTTGTGATTTTTAAAGTTTCAGCCGTGCTGCCAGCCGAGGGCTGCATTGATGGTAGCACGCCTGCGGGATGTGTCAAAGCACAGCAGGAAAGGCTTCGACAAGAATTGTTCAATCATGCAAAGTGGCACAAGGAAAGTATCTGTCCTTCGAAATCCTTCCCAAACAGGGCTGAAACCTGCAGCCTTAAGATCAGGAAAACAATATATAAGGATCTGAGAGTATGCTGACGTATTGTCTATGCATGCCAAGGCAACATCGCCTCCGTGCAGTCGAAAAAACCAGGAACATCCAGCCTGACCACACCACCCCTCAATGTGCTAATTATGAGCTCGTTGCCTGCCTTCCTTCCACAAGAAGTGGCAACCAGCTTGCCAGAAACATGTTCCGTGGATTCCATAGCTGCAAAAGTCATTGTTTCAAAAAGGATGCACTGCAATATTGTCAACAAAAACATAAGGAACCGCGATATTGCCATGTTCCTAGATTGATTCACTGACATGTTTCAAACAACTTTTGGAATCAAATTCCGTTGTTTCAAACTTGATTGAACGGGCTTCAAAGGAGCCTCGATCCATGCGTTTGCTCTTGGTCGTCGCTAATCATCTAATCATCGTTAAACATATGTTTTCAAAAATTGCGTCAAATGCTGTTGAAAAAGACTCTCCTCTTCTGGTTTGCTCTTGGGCTTGGAGGACGCGTTTCTGCTTTCGCGTGATTGGTTTTTGAACTCTTCAACGTTTTGAGGCATCTGTCAAACACCCGCTGCTTGCAATCTTTCGCGCGACACTGTCAAAGGTCTCGATCCCATCTTTCCATCTCCTCACCAAAAAACAAATGAATAGAAAACAGCTAGGATAGGCACGCAACTTGAAATCTTAGTGCGAATTGTGATGTTCACCCCTGCATGAAAAACATATTCAATTTACGCACGGACCCGGACACTATAGCGAGCTCTAGCTCGGTCTGGGCGCGCACTATAGGGGGTTCCTTTCTTTTCCGCCTTGTCTGTCCAGGCTGTGTGCTGCCATTAGCCCTTTCTTCTCCGCCTTGTCCAGGCCTTGTCCTTTCTTCTCCGCCTTGGCCGGGGTGTCTAAAGGTCCTTGCGCAGGCCTTATTCAGGTTTGTCCACGCTTGGCCGCGCCCCGCCTTGCCCGGATATGTCCAGCCCTTGTCTGGGTCTGTTTGGCCACGCCGTGGCCATCCGGGTCTGTATGTCCACGCTTGGGCCTGGGCGTTGTCCTTGTCCGAATATGTCGCGTCGCAGGCCTTTTCTTCCCCACCTTGTCCAGGCCTTTTCTAGGCTTTGTCCGGGTCTGTGTGTCTTCCCAGCCTTGGCCTGAATGCTATGAATACACTCCAGGAAAAACTGTTGCATGGATTCCACACAGATTGCCAAGAAGAATGAAAAAATAGGTGCCAAACAAAATGCCAAAATAAATGTCAGAATAGACATGCCTGTAGACTGGCAGCAAAGAATGTCAGACTCCATGCTAGAATAGATGCCGCAATATATGGCAAAAATAATGTCAGCTAAAATGTCAGATTAGGTGTCAGATTACATGCCAGAACACTTCCCGCGCAGCTGCCAGAACTGACGTCAGAACACATGCCAGGTACACACCAGAACGCGTTTCGCAGCATATTTCGGAACACTTGTCAGGCATAACGCCAGAAATGTCAAAGTAGGTGACAAGGTACATGTCAAACCACATATCAAAGCAAATGTCGGGGCATATGTTAGAGCACATGTCGGAACAAATGGCAGGTTGGTAGCAGAAGAAGTGTCAGAAAACATATCAAAACAAATATCAGGACACATGCCTCATTTGATTTGATGCGGGGTACATGTCAGAAACACGCGCTACAAGATATTTTTGTCAGAGCACATGTCAGACTTGACGGCAGGACAATGTCAGAGTTCACACCAGAAGTAAGGATGTTAGACCATTTTTCCAGAACACTTCCCAGCCCTTAGGCTCGGCTAGATTGTGTGTGTCAGAGGACATGCCAGAACTTATGTCAGAACAGGGCACGTCGCGCACGTGCCCTGCCTTCTTCCAAATCGCCTTCCAGCGCGGGGATCACTGGAAGTGAAGCGATTGATCCGAGCTAAACACGGAATCCCAACTTCCTACATCCCTAAATGTCTTTTTGTTGCCTTCTTGAGATTTTATGTCTTTTGCTGCTTTCTTCTGGCACTTGGAAGAATCGTCAAGAATCTGTAGGGAGATTTCCAAGCTTCAGGATTGATGGATATCTTGCGCAAGCGAAGTGCTCTGTAGGGGTGCAAGCCCACAACGGGCGGCGGACGAATCGGACGCCAGGAATCGGCCACCAGAACGCCGAATCGGACACCAGGAGTCGGTCACTAAGAAATTGGAATCGGTCACCGGTCGCCAGGGATCGGTCGCCAACCCGAATCGGTCACCAACTGGTCGCTGATTCGGAGCTCTCTCCGCCAACCCGAATCGGTCACCGCGGCAGGCGGGAGCCAGTGGAAGCAAGAAACCCGCTGGAGAGCCCTAAACAAAGCCCAAACAAACCCCGGAGCAGCGAAGCTTTAAACCAAACCCGAAGAAACTCTGAAGAAGTTCACCTAAACCAACCGCAAACAAACCTTATAAAGAAGCCTAAACCAAGGCCAAGGAAACCCTGAAGAAGTCAGCCCTAAACCAAGAACAAACAAATCCCAAAGAAGCCAAGCCCTAAACGAATCCCAAACAAACCCGCCTAAAGAAGCCAAGCCCTAAACAAAGCCAAAACAATCCTGAAAGAAGTGAATCCTGAAACCAACCCTAAACAACCCAAAGAAGTCAAGCCCTAAACCAACCCTAGACAAGCCAAAACAAAGCCTAAAGAGGCCAAGCCCTGAACCAATCCCAATCAAATTCGTGTAAAGAAGCCAAGCCCTAAACTTTTAGGGCTTGCGCCCAATCTGCGCCAGCACAGTTGTTTTTCACCAGGGGATTGAAGCTTTTGAGGTCCATACATTTTTCGGCTTAGGCGTCCTCAAACCTTACGACCACTTTCGTGTACTTTTGTTTTTTCCATGTTCCCCTTTGGAAGGGTTGAAGCTTGGGGCGAACCCCTTCTGTCCTTTGAAGGCTATCTTTACCATTTGGAAGGATTGAAGCCTGGGGCGAAACCAAGCCGTAAACCAAGCCCAACAAAAGCCTAAAGAAGCCAAGCCCTAAACAAAGCCCAATCAAACGCTAAATAAGCGAAACCCTAAAGCAAACCTGACAAAACCCTAAAGAAGTCAACCCTAAACCAAGCACAAACAACCCCCAAAGAAGCCAAGCCCCAAACCAGGCCCAAGGAACCCTTCTCAAGAAGTCAAGCCCCAAAAACAAGCAAAAAAATCTCAGGGAGTCAAGCCGTAAACCAAGCCCAACCAAAGCCTAAAGAAGCCAAGCCTTAAACGAAGCCCAGACAAACCCTAAACCAAACCCAAACAAACCTTAAAGTTAAGAAGTCAAGCCCGAAACCAAGCCCAAACAAACCTGCCTTCAAAAGCCTAGCCATAAACAAAGCCAGAACAACCCCTAAAGGAGTGAAGCCTGAAACCAAGCCTAACAACCCCCAAAGAAGTCAAGCCCTAAACCAAACCCAATCAAATCCGAAAGAAGTCAAGCACGAAACAAGCCCAAACAAACCCTAAAGAAACAAACTCTAAACCAAGCGCAAACAAACCCTAAAGAAGCCAAGCCCCAAACCCTCCTGAAGAAGTCAAGCCCTAAAAAAAAGAGCCAAAACAAACCCTAAAGGAGTCAAGCCCTAAACAAAGCCCAAACAAACCCTGAAGAAGAGTCGAAGTTTTCTCAGCTCACAACAGGTACCCCCTACAATGCTGGACACCCTGAACGATATACGGTTACCTCAGTTACCTCCTTATTAATTTGATCCATTCCCAATCTCATGAAGATGCAATTTTGCGATGAAAGAATCACAGTCATCCAGCTTTCTGCTGGCTCCCTCCTGTTTGAGGGCATGGTGATTTCCGGGCTCGTGCAGCCACACTCTATAAGGTCGTCTCTCCTCTTGGCGTGGACATTGACACTCGCATTTGGCGCTCTTCAGTGGTTCGCCTTACTGGTGGAGGGATACCGATGGGCTTGACTTCTGTCAACTGATGCCTCACCTTCGATTGTTGAAACTCCAGTGACCGGGATTGTCATGTTGGTGTTCTCACTCCAGCGTTTTTCAGAACACTTGATGGAGCAATGCCACCGCCACAGACTGGCACGCAATGGATCCTTCTTCGCTGGTGGTGAGGACATTGGGACGCGCTTGAGATTGAATTTCAGGAACACTCATTCACTGTCATTCGTTGGGATGGTCTTGCAATTTGGCCCATGCTTGGTCTCACTGATTTCCTTCAGTGGCTTCGTACTACAAGCAATCGTCTTCTGCTCTCCATCACTACGCAGCGGCGGTTTGAGCAGCATGATGCCTACTCTTGTGGAGCCATCGCGATCAAGCACATGGCCATCCTGATTCGACCAGCCTTCTCTGGCATGTCCATTGCCACCTTGCATCGTCTCCTGCAGCGGCATTCATCCCATCCTGGTGCATGGATTGGTGGTGGTCCTATTGGCGAAGATCTGGTCGCACGTCAGCTCTCGTCGCTTTTGGCTGAACGCGGCGCGCCTTCTGAGCTCTGTTCTGAGCGAGCTAAAGCTGCAGTTGCCCGCCTTGGGCTGAGCGATTTGCAAACTGCCCTTGATCTGTGAAAGCGCTGGTGGTGAAACATGATGAACTACAGAAGCATGTTCAAGCTCGGGCCAACACGAAGAAGGTCTCTCAGGCCCACAAGAAGCCCAGCAAAGCCAAGCCTTCTACGCTTCACGCCTCACAGCTTGATGTATCGCAGCTCAGTTTGCTCCCTGGCTCATTCATTGATGAAGCTGATCAACCGGTCACCTCTTTGGACTTTGCCGGATTGAAGCGCGATGCTACTGGGTTGGTCCTTTGCCGTGTTGCTGACATTGTTCCCTTCTTGGAGGAAGACACTCACATCTCAGCACATCCATTGGCGGCACTTACAGTTGGGCAAATTTCCACTGAGCTTCGTGGCTCACTTCCCATTGTCGATCTTGCCTTTCCCGTCATGCACGATCGAGCTCAGAAAGGCATCTTGATTGATGACTCATTGCTACAGCTTGGACAGAAGATCATCAAGCGGTGCCCTGCTGCCAAAGAGCTCAAGCTATCCACAATTGACACTCAGGCTCTCAAGCTTTGGCTTCATCGAGATCAATGGCCCAATGACTGGTCCAACTTTGTGAGGTCACCTGTCCGCTGCATCATGGACAAGTTCCCCAACTTTGTTCCAGGGCTGCTAAAGTTTGTGGGGCCGGATGCCTTCATTTCCACCCTCCTGTTGGTGAAGATGATGGCTATGAGACTGTCTTGCTGGATGTATGGGCACGGGCCTGGACCACTGACAAGTTCACGAAGGCTACTCCTGACTCCGTGAAGGCCTTCACCGGTCCTACGTGGAGGCTCTCACTGGTCTCACATGGAGGCCTTGGCCGGTCCCACGTGGAGGCCTTCACCAATCCTATGTGGAGGCCTTGGCCGGTCCTGCGGAGGCCTTCACCGGTCCTACGCGGAGGCCTTCACCGGCCCTACGCGGAGGCTTTGGCCGGTCCTACGTGGAGGCCTTCGCCGGCCGACGTGGAGGCCTTCACCGGCCCGATGTGGACGGTCCTACGTGGAGGCCTTCACCGGCCCTACGTGGAGCCCTTGAAGTACAGCCATCAAGGCTTCACGTAAGACCGGCCAAGGCCTCCACGTAGGGCTGGACCGGCTTAAGGCCTCCACGTGCAGCCGGCGAAGGCCTATCGTCGAGTTATGTTTCGGGCTCTGAAGAAGCAGAAACCCATGCCATGGGCATGGATCTCCTTCAATCTGTCTCCAGTGCTTCCATCATCTCTGTGTCGGCTGATGGTACCTCTGTTCAATTGGATCAGCCATTGCAAGTGGAAGCAACAGCTACCTGGACTGTGCAAGGTGTCCCAGCAACAGTGTCACCTTTGGCGCCTTGTGGCTATTTAGTGGACACTGACTTACTGCTATGCCCTGGACAGAAACTCGAGCAGACTCAACTGCTGGCTACGCCGGCGGCTATTCATGCAGAACTCCGTCGGCACTGGCAATCTCGCTGGGGCAAGGCTCCTGATTTAGGCCCTGCACTTTGGGATCACATTTCCACTTTCATGGTTGCATATCTACCTCAGCGCTCCTTGACCTTGCCGGCATTGGATCCTTCTCTTTGGCAGGCTACTGTCGCCAAGTTTACTGCACGCTCTGCCCGACGTTGCGACGGCTTTGACTATGCTGATCTGCAACGTATGCCTTTGAGTTTGCAACAGCATTTGCTTTCCCTGCTGTCTACCATCGAGGACACTGGTCATTGGCCAAAGCAATTGTTGGCTGGACTTCTGCATGGGCTTCCGAAACATGAGGCTGCTTCGGAGGCCAAGGAATTCCGACCTACCCTCATCTACAGTCAAGTGTTTCGCGCATGGAGTTCTTTGAGGGCTTCACAGATCTTGGCCTATCTGTCTCCGCTCATGGACTGTAACTCTGGATGCTTACCCAGGCCGCCATTGAAGAAGCGCTGCAGATGAATCAGCCTCTCGTTGGCATTGTTTCAGATGTTCAGCGTGCTTTTGATGCCACGATTTCCAATCTTTCGCATTGCACTGCACTTGGACTACCTGCCAACTTCATCTTCGCTTGGGCAACTTTCTTGTTCTTGTCGGAGACATTCTTTGTGGTGAGAACAGAGTGTAGCGCTCCGATGACTACTACCTGCGGCTTTCCCCAGGGTTGTGCTCTTTCGTGCACTGCAATGCTCTTGCTGAACTTCTGCTACCACACCTGGATGAAAGTATATTCCCCCAGTGTCTTGGCCCTTACGTTCGTTGACAACTATGAACTTCTGGCCAGATCAGTCCGAGATTTGGCGCATGGACTGGCCACTCAGCTTAGCTTCCTCGACATGGTGCAGCTGGATCTGGATGCACGGAAGACATATTCATGTTCAGCATTGGCACCGCAGCGCCGTCAGCTAGCCGAGTTTGCTCACCGAGTCGCCTTTGTGGAGCGTGATCTGGGAGGTGCTATGACTTATAGACGCCAGCGCTCATCAGCGACCACTCAGCTTCTCATTGATGCCCTTCAAGGTTCTTGGACACTTTGAAACGTATGCGGTGCTCTGCTTTTCAGAAGGAGCAATTGATTGCGCTGCAATTGTGGCCTCATCTGTTTTACGCTGCCGGCATTTTACATGTGACTGCGGTACAATTCCAAAAGCTTCGCACGGCAGCTGTCCGTTCTCTTGGGCGTGGAAAAGCTGGAGCCAGTCCCTTGGTTAGACTCAGTTGCCTGGGCTATACAGTGCTTCTTGACCCTGAAGCCTTTTGGTGCTGGCGAACTCTTGTCGATTTCCGCAGATTGCCTCGGAAACAGTCCGGCTTGGTTCAACTCTGGGAGCGCTTTATGAACAGGTTCGATGGTACCTTGCTTCCTGGGCCGTGTTCCTTTTTGGTTCAACTTTGTCAGTTGTTGGGCTGGAATGTCATTGATTCTGATGCACCATGCATTCTTGATCACCATGGACTACAATTTGATCTGCTACGTTGTTCACGTTCTTCTTTGTGGAGGCGTTTCCAGAATGCTTGGTATACTCACGTTAGCCACCAGCTGCGCGCAAGGACTTCTTATGCCGAGCTCTACGGTTTGGATTGGCCACTGAGTCACAAAGGAGAAGAACGTCTTCCACCTGCGCAGGTCGCTCGACTTGCAGCCCTTCGTGAAGGAGCATTCCTTACCTCCAGCCAGCAGTCACGCTTCGATGTGATCAAGGACGGCACTTGTTCACTTTGCGGCCAGCTTGATGATTTGGAGCATCGATGCACTTCCTGTCCCTCGCTACTTGATGTATATGCTGAACACCAGGAGGCTTGTGGCCTTTGGCTTGTCCTGCCTACTTGCCTCACGCATCATCTTCTTGCACCAGCCAATCCATGGCAACCGGATATTTGGCGCTGTCTGGAAACGTTGCCTGACGTTTGCTTATGCCTGCAAGAGTTGACACCGTTTGCTGCTGTCAATCTCTTCACTGACGGCAGTTGCTCCAATCCGGATGATGAGCCGTTGAGATTAGCTGGCTGGGCTGCCATTTCAGTTGAGCGCGACTCTTTGCTAGCTTCTGCACCGCTTGCCGGATGGGAACAACGCAGTTCCCGTGCTGAATTGACTGCAGCACTTGCCGTCCTGTTGTGGGCGGTTGGGCATCAGGTATCTTGTGCAGTTTGGACGGACTCCGCCTATGTCGCTCAAGGCTTTTGGCGCCTTGCTGCAACCCCAGAGGAAGCACCCTTTTCCTCGCACACCGACATTTGGCAGCGCATTTTGGAGCTTTTGGGCCTGGCAGCTGACTTTCGAGTTGTCCACATTCCGTCCCATGGCCCTTTGCCAGACTTGATCGTTGACGTTGATGATTGGTGCACCTACTGGAATGACAAGGCCGATCGGGCCGCGTTGGCTGCCAGACAGAGCGGTAGCCAAGAAACATCCTCCAGCGGCACCGGTGAAGGCCAAGTCACGTCAGTGGCGTCATCATCAAGTGCCACGGCAGCGGGAGGCTGCTTGGAGTGAAGTCGCTCAGCAACATCAAGATGTAGGGCTCGAAGACACTTCAACTGAGCTCGAGTCCGAGTGATCCAAGCCCGATGCTCTGCCCACCACTCCCAGCAAGCCTTAGTGAGAGTTGGGAATTTGATTTGTACAACAATTCTGTTTTCACGATTTGGTGTCCAGAGTTTATGCCCACTTTCTTGCAATGGCAATTTCGCAAGCTGGCACAGGGCTCGTCTTTATTTGCCGTTTCGTGGCTTGAACTGATTTGTCTTTTCAGGGAGGTGGGTATTTCAATCCCACATCCGGTCTCTTTTGGAAAGGGCAGAAGTGGTTGATGGATCATTCGGCCCCGGCAAGTTCACATGTTTCCAGGACGGTTGCGAGTACCATCAGGTATCTCCGTGATTTTCTTTCGTTGTTTTCTTGGGGTTTTGGTTTGGACATTCAATTTGTTCGACAGTTGAAACTTGTGGAACTCGCCATCCACTTCCCTCTTGATGGTCTCCCTGTTTTGGTCTCTACGACCATGCTCCGCTCTGCACACAGAGAGCTGAGAACATGGACCTCAGGCCGTGCGGTCAAGGTACAGAACGACCTTGCCAGGCCCATCGGACCTCGATGATCCTTCACTGGATCACTGACCGGCAGTCCGCACCGCGGCGTGCTGCGCTGCCGTGCGACTGCTTGAAGACCGTTCGCATGTGATGAAAGAATCGGGGCATGTCAGGAAATTAATTGAGGGAAGGGGCCTGAAAAGTGGTATCTTAGACCTTCTGGACCTTGTCGACCTTCTAGTTGCAAGGGGAATGCATTTTTATATTCATCCGGAGTTCACATTACTTACGCAACTGTAGACAACCTTCCCTGTTTGATCAGGGTGTGAATTGAATCCTTGTGCAGCGTTTGGAATCTCTTTTGAATCTAAACTCTGTTAACATGAAATTATTTAGGAACCACACATATGATTCATATAATCAAAGCAATTTGTGATTCGGCTCTAATTTGGACTCCTGTGGAAATGGATATCTTAGTTTGTAAACCCATAGAGAAACACAAAAAGGGTAGTCTACTGTAAGAAATATACTCTTTGAATCTCTTTGATATGTATTTGACCACTTAAAACTCCTGCATATTCCGATGTGGGATGTTTCGAATTGGAACCTCAGATTTTTCTAACTTTCAGGTGCAAGAGCAAAATGCTTTATATGTTTAGGGGGCACGGAATGTGTAACCATTCTATTTGGCCCGTTGAAAATAGCACAATACTCAATTTCTGGTGCTGTGGACCGTGGTGGTATCCTTGGCTTGGACAAGCACCCTTACTGGACCCAAATCCTGTTTGCTTGGAATGATGATCATCACATTCGCTCCTCGCGAGATGTCCCTGGCGGGTGTATGCCCTTCGTTCTGCACGAATCTGGAATCAAGAGCGGGTTCATGCCTCAAGTTCTGCCAAGGTTGAGCTTCCTTCCACTCGCCGAGGTGTCTGTGCTCAAGGTCCCCGCAGGCACTCCAAAGTGCTTCTGACGGTGCATCCTGCAGAAATTACACTAGCACGCGCCCTCAACTGCAACCACAGGATAGAAAATGTATGTCCCGGTATGTTTGCACCTAACCCACCTTGTACGTTTTCCTGACAAAAAGAACTAGAGTACGCTTCCCGAGTAAAGGGACTAAAATCGGAGAGCCCATATACAATAAAGCTTTCTAGTATGTCTTTGAAGCTACTAGGTGGAGACCATCGCTATTAGGTTGGAGGCCATCGCCACTAGTAACAATAAAGCTTTCTAGCAACTAAAGGCTACTAGGTGGAGAATCTTTGACAGGACGAACAGAGACGAACGTGAGTGGTGAGCATCGAGAGACACGCGCTTCATCTCAAAGTGAGACGCCAAACCAGAGGCGGCCAGAGGCGGCCAGAATCCAGGACCCAGAAAAAACTTAGTCGACAAGAAGGAAAAAGGACGAGAAGCAGTATATAAATATGTGTTAAAAAAACTTAAAGAAACATATTGACAAGGTCAATTTAGTCCAAGTTGCTCCAGACTCGAGACAAAGAGACAAAGCAAGGCAACTGTGCAAGAAACGGCGGATTCCCGAAATGCTCAATTCTACATGCTCCTGGCACCTTGAGGTCTGCATGAATCTCTACTCTGTTTGTATAGTAAATTTCAGGTAACATGGTATGAAAAGTATGGTACATATCAAGCAGACCGTCAATCTCGGGTTCTGGCTATGTCCAGATCAAGACATGTTCCAGTCGTAAAGCAGAATACCTAAGCAAACTTAGCACTTTTCTCGAAAGAAAGTGCAACAACCTGAGCCACACACTCTTAAAGACAAACCAATTGGATGTCACAACCGCAGCCAAGCGCAGCCAAGCGCGGCCAAGCTTCACGTCTGTTTGAAGTACATGACTTGCACAACTCCCAAAAGTCCTTCAGTCACACTATGTCACATTGTTTCATCCCCGAGACCAAAGCGAGTAGCAAAACCAGGAAGAAGTGTCTTTCAAGAGGTCCTGCGTCTCACCATCCCACAAAGATTCAGCAACCGCGGCCTGGCTAGACTAGACTGCTTTCTTGAGTGCAAAACTCAAATCAACTGGTAGAGTAGTGATGACCACATGCTTCTTGATTGCTGGCCAACTGGTCGATTGCAAAAGCTACAGCGTCCGCTGACCTACCCATTACCATCAGGGTGCATAGAGCGGCGCAAAACTTTGACTAACCACCTTGCTCAGAGTGAGGCACAACATGGCAAAGTACTGAGGCAATGAAAACATAATGGATACAAAGTCGTGTACAAAGCTCATCTGGTCTTGTACATACATTAATATAGCGAACCTTGACCAAATTATTGGCCTGGTCATTGGAGCCATCATTGCATCTTGATACATCAATTATCTGTGCCGTTGTCTATGCTGCTCTTGAATATGTTTGAAAATAGAAAGATTGTGTTCCTTTTCTACCGTATGATTGTTTTTCCTTTTCCTCTTCAACTGCTTGAACCGTATGGAGTTTAAAGACGTGCTGTGGCTGATCAATGGGGTTCTCAATAGGCCGGCGTCTCCTTTTTCTCTCGCTCTTTGCATCTTGTCTCATGATCTCAGAGCCCCAGCAACTGGCTATGAATGTCGTCTTCCAAGGAATGCCGTGGGGCCTGAAGCTTCCAACAAGCTGACTGCAAGTTGAGCTGCACACAACATGCTGGCTTGGCCTGAGCTGCCTGTCCAGCCCACCTCGGCAGGTCGACATATATCAACATGCAAGCACTTGGGTGTTGGCACATACAAGATCATCCACCATTTCACAAGCAAGCCGTTCCCGGCAAATGCATCTTGACTCAAACTTCAAAAGGAAAGGGAAGAGTCAGAGTGGGTGCAGCCGAACCGCTCTGGCCGCTTCCCCTTGGAAGTACCCTTGCCATGTGCCTTCCGGAAACTCGTAGCTTACCGTTTACTGCATACTCTTACGTACATGATATGTGTGACGTTCACTACCGTACTAGTGCAACAGTATGTGTCTGTGCAGAAATATGTCAGTAATTCTGTCTAGTTCTTTCTTAAATCTGCACAACTCCGTGAGGGAAACATCCACATCCCCAACCTGATGTCCGGCGCCAGGAGTTCCTGCATTTCCCGGGTTAAACTGCTGCATCTAGATCTGAATTGCCACGCTCAAAAAAGAATGTGCAAGCAGCAAAGAGAGCAGGATTCGTCGGACACATGCAGGTCTCCTCCAGGTGCTTGGAGCCCTTGGCTCTTGCCTCCAAGAAACAAGAACAAAGCTATTCTTTCAAAAGCTATTTCTCATTCGTGTCAAGGCCTTTGCTTTGGTCGTAGTATTTCTGCCAAACCTTGCACCTACCAGGTACAAAGCACTGCCATCCAAGCGTATCCGAGAGTCAAAGCACCATTGGCTACTAGTAGTGGCTGTTGGGGAAATCCAAACCAAGAGACTTGCTCTTGTCGGTGCATAGCTACCCTCAAAAGAAATGGCAATCGCCGAATTGAAAAACACCTATCCCAAACGAAACGGTCAGGAATGGTCCCCAGTTGCATGCCCTACCAGAGTTTGGTAGTATTGATATGTATTGATCGGAATACTGAAAATCTGCTTGAGGCAAGTGCCATTGATAGTACTGACGCCAGCATTCTTGGCCTGAAATCATCACAGCGAAACACATGTGCAAAGCAAAGGCTTGTTTCCAAAAACTGAGCATTTGACGGTAAGCTTCGAACTCTTCAGGTGAGGCTCCTCACCAACGAACCCCCATCTGTGGCTAGGTGATGAATGTGTGCCAAAACGGTCCTGGCGGTGGCTCTGGAATAGATGGCCTCAACCAAGCCAAAAATATTCTCAGCCTTGAACATCAAGAAACAAAACTGCTAAGGCAATGGCTGTCCTGGTCCTGCCTAACAAAACAAAAGATTATGTGAATGTGAAAAGCAAGGGCCAAAGCGGCATTTGATTTGATGAAGGAGGTTCAGTCTGGTGGGATGAAGTTTAACTGTCTCACTCGGCCCTTGAAGAGGCCTGAAGTTCTGCTGGCCTGGCAAATGCGCACCCACTTGATCAACATTCCTTCCAAAACGACCACAAAATTGCAGCTCAGCTCTTGCAACCCCATCGAGATGTTTGAACATAGAAAATAAGTGCTGCACCATCAAAGACCTTAGCCTTTGTAAAAGTATCATGCTAGGCACAAATGACTTAGGAGTTGGGCTCTGAAGTGACATAGGTGCTGTGGCATTTGAAATATGCATGAGGCCCATGTCATGTTGTCCGGTTTGCTACAGACATGCCGCATGCCCCAACAGGTCTAATGAGATAGGACTTGTGGAAGGTGGATGAGCAAAAAGATGAATGATCAGCCTGCACACAATGTCGTGACTTAGGCAGCCCTTCTTCCCTTGTGCCATGTCATGACGTCATGCTATTGCCTATTTGCCTCTTAACTCTATGTCATCAAACTTTCAGTTGTGAAACGTGATAAAACAAAGACTAGTCCGCATAGGCTTGGCTAGGCTCTAGTACTATATGTTTTCTGCTCAAAGGCTCGTGACCTAGGTCTTGCGCATTTTTTGCGTGTTTGGCTTTTGCATTATGACTTAGGACTTTAGAAAACCGGTCATAGACCTGAAGTATCGCAGCGCGGCTGACAGTACAGAGTTTGAATCGGGCTGGTGGCAGAAAGCCACCATGACCAGAATCTGGTGGAGGTCTCTGTGTGGACGCACTATGTAAATCTATGTACTGTACCGTCGTCAAAGATCACCTGAGAGGACTCTAACGGATGGGGTTGTTGCCTCTCAAGAGATGGCTGAAAGAGATCTGCAGACCACAGCTTCGAGAGAAAAAGGCATCGAAGGTGAATGTTCCAGATTGGACTTTCTCGGCACCGCTACAAAAGCCGTATCTGCGTGCACAATATTCTACAAACTTCTTTGAAGCAGGGGACACTTTTTTCAGTTGTGTGAATTTCACTGAGTTCAATCAAGTCTTCTATTTCCATGTGCTATTTAGGGAGTACAGGTTATGGCTCTAATGGATCCCAGGAGTCTGCAACGCCTTTACGTTCTGCTCTGGAAGGGAAACAGCCATTCCTACAAACAAACTACGCAAGCTCAAAATGGTCTGAGCTACCTTTCGTCGGACAATCGTCCAATGTTATCCCCAATTAGAGACGTCAAAGCCACAACAGCAACTGTCAACTGTGCCAAATACCCAGATTTGGCAACTTTTCACTACAGTATATAACTCGTGTATCATGGGGGTTGTCCTGGAATTCAATCCCAAGCAGGATACATTTGATTTGATACACAACAGAGAGATGTCAGGATCCAACTCTTCCAGACACCACTGCAACTGATTGCCTGAGATCGTGGAAAGGACTCGCTTTTTATGTCTGTGCTGTGATTTTGTGGGTGGAATCCAAATTTGGCACGTGCATAGTCAAACCAGGATCTTGTGAAAGACACTCAATGGAGAAATGTTACAGTTACAGTAATCGTTGAGTGGTTTATTATCCAGCCGAATCTGCCACAGCCTGACCCTGTGGATGGTTGAAAGGCTTGGACAAGGGTGTAAGTAAGGATTTTACGATGTTCCAATATCGTACCTGAAGTCTCAAATGCATTGAAAACATGCAAGGGCTGCGTTTGTGAGGCTATGTCCGCACCCAGGCTCCTCACACGGAAGGTATCTGCTATCTGCAACAACACATTGTGCAATTTGCTTGCCAAGCGCCACCTCAGCATTTGTGCTTTCCTGCCAAGCAGTGAGAACAAGAAGGTGCCAAAGGCCCTCAAGGACCTCAAGGCCCTGAAAATACCGCTGATGCACAAATCTATTGCAAGACTGATCATGATTGATCATCAACGAAAGAGCAGTCAGGGACACGTAGGCCCCAACCTCTCAAATGAGATGTAGCAGCAATGGGCATTTACTTTCTGGAGGTTATAGCGGCAAGCGTGTTGGATGAACAACCTTACAACGTCAATAAAGAAGAAAAACAACAAAGGCAAATGAAGTTGGGGCGCCTTCTTGCCAAGCACCTGTGTCAGAACTGTTTGGTGGTCACTGTAGGTTTTTGAACTTGGGTGGCGGCGCTGGGCATTAAACAACCAAATGGAAAACAAACATAGAGCGGCCAAACAACCAGACCGGGAGGCCAGACTCTGCCTCCTTTGTCTTGAGGTGGTGTTCGTGAGGAAGACACGAATAAGGGATCAAATTACACCGGCATAGACCCCAGATGGCGGGAGCATGGGTTTAAAGGACACGCTGCGGACGGCTGTCACCGCAGCACGCAACATCAGACCATTCCACCAATATGCGCAACATCTATCAGCTGAATGCACCCGCTTTGACTAACACAGACATAAAACTGCAAGATCGGCAAGGACCAGCCAAAACTGCCCCGACGACATGATGATCATTGCTGCACAACACGGTGTCACGTCATGCACAATCTGACAGCATGTCATCCCTGGCGTGACATGATGCCGTCCCTGGGAGGAGGCTCATTTTGGAACATGCGATTCGGCTCATTTAGGAACACGCAGAATGTGCCCATTTAAGCTCATTCTGGAACACATGATTCGGCTCATTTTGGAACACAACAATCATTTCGCACTGTGGAATAGATTCCGGTGTTCGATATGTAGCGCGCATGCGACGATGTCATATCGGTTCGCGGGTCCAATTTAGAGGACGAAGGTGCCATGCCAAGGTAGTATACCTTCCTGGGTTGCATTTGTTGCTTTGATCTCCTTCACCACAAGCGGGAGGGGGGCGCGGGGGAGGGCGCAGCGCCTCCCCCGCAATGTAACCAAGTCTAGTGGCTTTGTTGGGGTTCATCGGTTGCTGGGGTTCGTTGGTTGCTTCGTTGCTTGACTTAACCCCCGCGTGGCTCACAAGCGGCGTGCTTTGGAATGGCACCTTCCTGCCCTAAATGTTACCCCCGCGGCCCGCGTGGCTCACAAAAGGTACTACCTTGGAATGGCACCTTCCTGCTCTAAATTCTCCCCCTGCGTGACTGCTACCGTGGAATGGCGCCCCCTTCCTCTATTTACATTCACATTTATCCCCCGCGTGGCTCAGAAAAGGTATGCGACCTTGGAGTACAATCCTTTCGCACTGTGGAATAGATTCCGGCGCTCGATAGAAGTTTGTTGCGCGTGCGATGTCGTGTCAGTTCGCGGGCCAAATTTAGAGGAGAGGTGCCATGCCAAGGTAGTATACCTTCCTGGGTTGCATTGTTGCTTTTGGTCTCCTTCAAAATAATCGGGAGGGGACGCGGGGGCGGGCGCAGCGCCTCCCCCGTAATGTAAACCAAGTCTAGTGGCTTCGTTAGAAAAAACAAACAGAGGACATATACTAGACATAAACCAACAACAAATAGCAAAAACAGATTTATCTAAAATGACAAGCTTAAAAATGAAAGACAAACCACCACAAGAAAGAAACCACCAGAAGGAAAAAGACACCCGGGGAAAAATGAACACCCACAAAAAATAGCAACCAGAAGAAAACGCCAACAATAAACAAACGCCGCCGCATGAAAAAGCAACCAGAAGAAAAAATAAAAGGACCGGATAACCCCACATGATAAGTTTTACAAATTTCAAATGTATATGAACATCATATGGGAGACGGAGTAGTGAGATGAAAAGTCAAGAACGAAGTGTGAGGAGAGAAGGTATATGAGGCGGTTGCGCTAAGACGTGTAGTATAAGTGATGATGTGATGGACGAGGATGAGAAGGAGGGGAGGGAGGAGGTGTGTGTGTGTGTGTGTGGTAAGATGGCGTGCGTGTGTGTGTGTGGGTGTGTGATAAAGTGTCTGATGATGTGATGAACAAGGATGAGAGGGACGAGAGAGAGAGAGAGAGAGAAGTTTGGAGGCTCTGGATTTTGCGATCAGATCCGCATGAGACCTTCACAGATGTTGGCCAGATCCGCATCAGATCCGCAAATGCAATCGGCATTTCACAGATGTTGAAAAGAAACATGTCATGAAAACATGTAAGTAAGTGAATCAAAACATGTCTGCTGCAACCATTGCCAGAGAACTTTCAAAACAAGATTCAGAACGGTCGCGCAGGCTAAACTAGAGAACTGCAAATCACAATGGCACTAGCGCAGAGACAGGCTTCACCAACACCCTCGCCGCAGCATTTACAATGCGATTCGCAGGCATTGATTGCCCTGGCTGTGCAAATCACAATGGCAGTAGCGCACAAACACACTCTGCCAACTTCCGTGCCGCAGCCATTACAATGCGATTCCGAACCAGTGAGAACCCTTGCTGTGGAAATCACAATGGCAGTAGCGCACAGAGACATTTTGCAAACATCCGTGCCGCAGCCATTACAATGCGATTCCGAAGCAGTGAGAACCCTTGCTGTGCAAATCACAATGGCAGTAGCGCACAATCACAATGGGTACTGCGCCTGCCACGCGGAGGGCAGCCAGCGGCACCAGCGGCGACAACACGCGCCGCAGCTCCTTCTGGAGGCTCTGGAGAGTGCGAGGCCAGCCAGCGGGCAGCCAGCGGCACCAGCGGCGACAACGCGCGCCGTAGCCCCTTCTGGAGGCTCTGGGTACTGCGCCTGCCACGGCGAGGGCAGCCAGCGGTACCAGCAGCGCGCAGCAGCCCCTTCCGGAGCCTCCTAGAGAGTCCGCCTGCCACAGCGAGGACAGCAAGCGGCACCAGCGGCGACAACGCGCGCCGCAGCCCCTTCTGAGGGCTCTGGGTACTGCGCCTGCCACGCGGAGGGCAGCAAGCGGCACCAGCGGCGACAACGCGCGCCGCAGCCCCTTCCGGAGCCTCTGGAGAGTGCGCCTGCCATAGCGAGGGCAGCCAGCGGCACCAGCGGCGACAACGCGCGCCGCAGCCCCTTCTGGAGGCTCTGGGTACTGCGCCTGCCACGCGGAGGGCAGCCAGCGGCACCAGCGGCGACAACACGCTCCGCAGCCCCTTCTGGAGGCTCTGGAGCCAGTGGCACCAGCGGCGACAACGCGCGCCGCAGCCCCTTCTCGAGGCTCTGGGTACTGCGCCTGCCACGCGGAGGGCAGCCAGCGGCACCACGGCGACAACGCGCGCCGCAGCCCCTTCTGGAGGCTCTGGAGAGTGCGCCTGCCACGCAGAGGGCAGCCAGCGGCACCAGCGGCGACAACGCGCGCCGCAGCCCCGTCTGGAGGCTCTGGAGCGTGCGCCTGCCACGCGGAGGGCAGCAAGCGGCACCAGCGGCGACAACGCGCGCCGCAGCCCCTTCCGAAGACTCTAGAGAGTGCGCCTGCCACAGCGAGGACAGCAAGCGGCACCAGCGGCGACAACGCGCGCCGCAGCCCCTTCTGAGGGCTCTGGGTACTGCGCCTGCCACGCGGAGGGCAGCAAGCGGCACCAGCGGCGACAACGCGCGCCGCAGCCCCTTCCGGAGCTGTATGTGTGTGAGGGTGGTGGTGATATGTAGATGCGAAGAGGATGATGGTGAGTGGGAGAGGTGAAGAGGATGATGAAGAGGATGATGTGGAGCTGTATGTGT